TAATTACATTATTTCACATTAACATTAAACATTAATTTTGAATTGTGAAACATGGAGTAACATGTTTAATGTAGAGGAGATCGTGTCTGATTATCATGGAGATTGATTGTTGAAAAGTTAATAAACTCAATCAATAAAATATATGGGCCGAGCATTCTCTTCTTTTTACTGTAAATTTACTGATATTACTAATATTACAATAAGAACTTTATTGGACTGTTCATGTGAATACACAACCAATAGAAGAAAATAGAGCCCATAGTCAAAGCTGGATCTTTGGTGTTAAGTAATTCGGTACGATTTTATATACTACGTGTCAAATTCTGCCAAACTGTGCGCCAAATTGTTTTTTCGGTCTTGAAACGTTATATTAATAAAACCATAGTACTATTATAAATTAATATTCTTAGTTTTATACACAGTTTATTTCAATATCTTTATAAATAGAATTTTAAAAAAGTAAAATAAATTAAGAGCCTTATTCGGCTGAGATATCATGTAGAATTAATATTTTTAAAAACTGTATTTTTTTATTTGTGTGTTTTATTTATAAAAATTATATTACTGTCAACTTTGGAATGTGTAGCCATCATCCCGAGTACAAGGCTAATTATTATATTTTCGCAATAAAATATAATAATTGTTCAAAATTAAGAGAGGAACTTATTTATACGATAATATGTTTAAGAATAATATTTTTTTAATATCTAAGAGATGCAGAGATATATTATAAATGTTTCACATCCACTTTTTTCTAAAAATCATTATTTAAAAACTGTGACAATCAGTTCTAGTCTCCTCTACAAATCCATTGTGTTCTTTTATCAGATCAATTTCTTTTCTATTGGTCCATAAATAATGCATTTAATAAATACATGTGTTAGATGTATCGCAAAAATTTCTGCATATAACACATAACTTTTACTCTCCTTGGCTCAACGTCTGCGACATACATCATAGAATACTGTTTAAGAGTCCTATAAATAAGAGAAGCAGCACCGCAGCAGTTTCTGATGTTTCTGCTATCATAACGCATTACTCATCGATATCTCTTTATCACTTCCTTGCTATCTGATTTCTTCGACAGCTGTGTTTATTTTTCACCTAATATTTCTTAAATTTTCTCGAAGAATTCTCTACTTTAACAGATTTGAACGTTACGCATTATCGTATATATCATCGTCGTCTCGTTTCTTTACGTAAAATTCTTCTTAAATAACTCGTCGATAAAATTGTGAACTTCGTGTAGATAAAAATTTAAAAGGTTAAAGATTGATAATTTAAAAATTGTTTTATTATAGAAAAAGATTCATTTTACTTTGTCTAAAGAACATTTTCTATATCTTGTTAAGAGATCACTCAATTCAAGCTCTTTGCCTAAGGTATTTCTACTCTGGAGAATTCTATTGGTAGCCAGACTATCATCTACAAATATTTCGATTTCATCAGTATGTGCAATCCGCCTTCTCTATCAAGGAGAATAACATTTTATTATAGAAAAACTTTTCTTTTGTGTTTTTTTCCATTTTTTTACTCTTTTTCTACTCTTTTTTAGGGTCGAAATATTTTATATTTTATATATATAGCATGCTTTCTAAAATATGTGTTTTTTTAAAAGTTTTCATTCGTTTTAAATTAAGAGGATTTCTATACTTATCCATTATGGAGGAATTTTTTTATGTTGACTAAGTAATTCGATTTTTTTACACGACGATGCAATATACAATGATTAAAGATTACCAACAGATTCAATGAAATTCATTTATGAATTTCTTGGTTCTTTAGATAACCATATATTGAGAAATTAGGTCTAAGGGGTCTATTCTATAATTCTTAATAGATATAATTTAGAACTTTAACGTTATATTGTCATTGTGCAGGTTTTATACATGCTAAAAAAGCGATGCAACACTACAATTGTTAAGAGTTATAGAATAGATCCCCAAAATTAAGTAACCACTTCCTTTAGAGCTTTTTTGTTTAATAACATATTTTAATTTATAATGATTCGTAGATTAAAAATTCTTGATACTTCATATCATTGATCAATACTATTTTTCTTAATAAATTATTTAAAACTTGAAAAATGAAAATCGCTATAACAATGTTGTCCATAATATGATAATAAATATTTTATAACATAAATATATGCAATTTATATATGCAAATATAGTTCATGTATGCAAATATCTAAACTTTAAAGCAAAAATATGTCACACATCTTTTTTCCCTTCATTTTTTATTTACCTCTCATAATATTTATATTATATTACAAAATAATTCTCTAACAAAAAATTTATAAAAAATCCTATATAAGCCAGATAAAGACTTTTTATTTATTAATTATAAGAATTTTTTAATTTTAATTTAAATAAATTTTCTGCCTGTTTTTTATCCCAATAATTGAATAGTCTATAAAGAAAAAATTGTTTTATCAACAAAGTTTTATTTAATTAATAAAAGTTTTCCTGCCTTAAGGAAAATAAAATTTATTTTAAAGGAATATATATAGGGAGAAAATGTTATTAATATATTTAAAAGATAATTAAATAGAAATGATCTGTTTCTTTGTTTCTATTTATACCCCTGTTATACTTCTTTTCTCATATACATTCTAAAAAGGACGTCTGCCTACTATCGACGAGATTAAAAAAGTTACGCGACAAAGGGTTAACGAGCTTAAATCGTTTACTGAGAAAAGCAATATTTCGTGAGTTTAAACTTAAGCGACTAAGACAAAAAGCGGCATCGAAGAAAAAAAGTCTTTCCTTTAAAAATATTTACTAGAATGTGACGAGCTTGTTTTTTATAGAGAGTAAATGCAATACCATTTTTTTTGTCAACAATATATCTCAAAATATAGAATGAGCTTCATACATAAAAAAATGATTATATGCCTCATCATAAATTGTTCTTTGTGAACTGGGAAAAATTGTGGACTTTTCTTCGTATAGATCGTTATTGCATGTCAAAATTGTCACGCAAGAAATTTCCACAAGTTCGCGATGGACAATTTGCACGGCACTAATTAATTCACGTTCATTAAAAATGTAATAGATATTTCACAAAATAACAAAAAAATTATGAAAAAGTTTTACGGATTATTATATACTACATTTATAAAAGTAGTTGAAAATATTTAATGATGGTTTATCAAAAAATATTTCAATAAGAAGTTGTATTTTTTTATCTGTGCTCTAATAGAAATATGTCGTCATTATAAAATAATGATGACATTTTTTTATGCAAATACTTTAAGTATTCAAGATGATGTATGTAAAGTTACATTGCAATATAGAAATTAATTTTCCTGTATATAAACTAATATTTATTTGTTCTAAATCTTTATAACTAATCAGTGAATCGCGATGAAACATACATAATTACATAATACATTATATAAATCGTTTTAAATATTTAAAGTACTTATGTAAACATATTTAGAATTTTGTTTCCTTTCTCTAAGTAAACTGAAATAAAAAAATTCTATTCATTTAGATCTTATTGATTATTACTTAAATTTTAATTTATAATAAAAATAAAAACAATAAATAAAATATAGATAAATAAATAAACATAAATAAATGTAAATAAATACATAAAGCATATAAATAAAACATAAAGTATAAACTATGTTACCTTGTATAAACTATAAAGATGTATTGTTTAATAAATATAGATAATGTTAAAAACACAAGTTTCATATAATTTGCTTAAATATCAATGTATATGCTATATGCTATTATATAATACATCTATCATATTTTGAATAACTGCATAATTCCTAATTTTTCTAATTTTAAAAAATAAACATTTAACGTTTGTCAAACATTTAATAAATAGATATAATGGTTTAAATTAAAAACAATAATTGAAATAGATTAAAAAATAAAAAGGTCTTTTATAATATACATTTTCATACAGTGGAGCGAAAAAGATTAAGTTAAACGAAAGATGTAATCATTGTAGCTGTCTGCTAAAAATGGAACAGTTTATTCAAGAAGTTGACAGACGAGCGATACCCTGCGGGTATCTGCAAACACCATCGTCTTACAGAAACGAATGTATAGAAGCAGAAGGCAAAAGAGATGGCAAAAAAGACGGTTAAGATATGAAATGTTTAAGATAGACATATAATATTCGTAGTACAAAATATGATATATTCCGAATATATTCTGATTTGAGAATTTCAATACGAAACAAATCATGCAAATGTAATACAATAAAAAGTAGAAACAAAACAGT